TTGTACTCGAACTCACACTTGTGTCCAACAGTGTAGGCCCGAGTTGGCGGCGAGCGCTTGTGACCGTGAGGTTTGTGAAGGAATAATGACGCGTGAAATACGTTAACGATGTGCCCTCGTCTATTAAAAATGGAAGAACAGTTGTGTTTGTCGACGGCACGAATGTTCTTTGCAAAAAAGAAAGAATAAATAGTACTTTTTAAGAAGTTTCAAGTTTGATTCGTAATAACAAATTGAAAGTTAACGCCAAAAAACTGTTTCTGCATTTTTGCATTTCAAATCAACAATCGCATGCTCCTTTGAAAATGAAAAATGTGTTGATGTTAAAGAAACAATATTTTTAGGTCTTTCAATTTAGTCTCATTATGTTACGCATTAAGAATACTTTCAAATTCTGTCAATCTTAATGCAGCTCGTTGCGTGTATTTTGTAAATGTAGATTTCCGCGTGAGATATGGCATAATGTTCTGGAGAAACTCATCTTGCCGTACACAGACGTTTATATTGCAAAAGAAAATTATTCTAATTATGAAAAAATGCCATCCTTGCGATTCTTGCAATTCTCTCTTCATTGAGCTCGGATTCTTATCATTGCCTTGCCTATTTATTTACGATACTGCAATTTTTGTCAAAACTGGCTTCCTTAACAGTGGAAACATATTTTCATGCAATACTGACATTTATAATTACAACACACTTCGTAGAAATCACTTTCATCAAGTGTCAGTACCAAATTCACATTACAATAAATCCACATACAACACATATACATTACTTTATAATGCATTGTCAGATGAATTTAAACAATTAAAATCCGAACACACATTTAAGTTAAAAGTAAAATCGTTCCTGCTGCATAACTGTTTCTATACAATCAGAGACTATGCTGGTCATCAAAAAGAAAAATGTTTATTTTAACAAAACAGTGATATAGAATGCATTAGTTTATATTTGTATTGTATAATTTTTTTAAAGACTTAATAGGCCTGTAACTAGTAGTGTAAGGCAAGTCATGCGTATATGGCCAGTGTAGGTAATATGGCCAAGTAGTGGCTAGTTAGCTTATTAGCTGAAACTGTTTACTATAGATAGTGCTAGTATTTCGTCTGGGAGAGCGGAAAAAGTGCGTCAACCAGTCTTGTTGACTCGCGCATTCGCATTCTGGAATCTCCGTTGTCAAGAACGCGCTGAAAGCGCACTCTCCTTGTAACTTCTTTCCAGGTAAATTTATAATTAGTAACACTTAAAGAAGGATTTAATATTTTTACAATATACATCAATCCTCAGCGCATTTAATGAGCAATCTAATAAGATTAATACCGTTTTATTTGCCCAATATTTTAGCTACGTGGGATAAAAATTAATCCAGAAAAATGCCAAGCGAAAATATTCACACTTCGTAGACCAAGAATGCCCCCTACCTTAAAAATCAATTGCAGCCCGATTCAATGGAATATAGGCCCAATTAAATATCTTGGTGTACACTTCGATAAAAGATTAACATGGAAACCGCATATCCTTGCATTAGTAAATAAAGCTATGGGGAAAATGTCAAAACTATATCCAATAATAAATAGAAAATCCTCATTAAAAATCAAATGCCAGCTATTGATATTTAAATCAATCATTTTACCCACCCTAACATACGCTTGTCCTGTCTGGGGAAATGCAGCACCCTCATCAATAGAGAAACTTCAGACGGTACAAAACAAATGCCTTAGGAAAATCATACAAGCACCCTGGTTTATACCCAATTCCCAGATACATGGGGAGCTACGTATGGATCTAATCAAAGATCACATCTCTACAATTTCGAAATGCTTTTATACTTCACTCAACATTTCTCACTTAACAAATACCTTTAACCTAGGACGAAATGCTGTGCACCCCTGCCGCATCAAATCCAAATTCCCAAAAGATAAATTTCGCCCCCCGTAAGCACATGATATAACCAATTCAAACATCCAACCTAACATTAAAGCATGTAAATTTTAAATAAACAATAAATCATCCCAATCCCAATCCAACACCTTAAAAAAAACAAAAAAAACAAAAAAAAACAAAAAAACGGAGCAGTGATGTCAAGCTCAAAATGCCAAGGATGCCTATTCCTAACAATGAAAAATCTATTGTATCCAAGCCCTTGAAAGGCCACATGGCCGAACAAGGAGAAAATAAATGGAAAAAAAACTACGTGGGAGAGACTTTATAACATGTTGTTTTTGTTGTTAATATGGCAAAGGTGATGGGCATATTTCCAGAACTTGCAGCCAAATTACGTGCATGTGATACACTAATATTTTGGGGTTTTATTTTCTAGGAAATGAAACCTGCAACGATTAGGGGGTGATTCGAGCCAAATCAATATGGAAATCAAAGCCAACTATCAACTCTCGCGTTATTGTTTTAAAAAACGATTTATTTTCAACTCATACATCAGACCATGTTCAAAACAATCCAACAAATTCCATATTGATTGATTTGTTTAGTGATTCCGGGTATGTCAACTACCAGGGTCTTTAGTCCCGTAAGTGTGATGCATGTTTTTTTGCTCTTTCCCCCGCTGTATGGCGAGATCCGGCGCCGACTAAACCGTCGACTAGCGGGGTTTTCTTTAACCAAGTATCTCCCCAGCGGGGCACCGCCCCAGCCGGGACATGCTCTTAGCTCGTGGGGGGTCTCCCGGCATGTGTGGCAGTTTAGTGTAAGGGTTTAGTGTTAGTGTAAGGGTGTGTGTAAGGGGTGAAGATAGGACGAGGAAGAGGAAAGTGAGACCGCACGAGGTCTGTGGCCCCTTTGTTAGGGTACTGCTTCGGCATTCGCCTTGTGTTGATTGAAGAAACTACGGAAAACTCCCTATCAGAGGAGTCGGCCGCTAGAATTCTTCTCCAGCGACTGTATTCAGCCTAGCTGACAAGATAGAGTCGAAAATCCTGCCACCGTCGGGACTCGAACCTAGGACCTCTCGGTCAGAGGGACTGCAGTGACATTAGTTGTTGCCCTGAGCAATCTTTCCCTGTCAAAAATAATAAAGTGAATCAGCCGGCAAAGAAAAATAATAAAGATAATCCTGACAAGAAACAACACATTTCTATGAAGAAAAATGTACTGTGAAGGGATGTCTTCGTGCCAGCCACACGAACATTCAATCCCATGGTCGAGAAGCTAGGTCAGCGCTAGTCGACCAAGGCCCGTATTGGACTGTCCTGCCAAAAACAGGATATGAAATCCCCTTGACTGTTAGAATATGACCCACCGAACACCGTACTTTCGGTGCTGCCTAAAAAATTAGGAGAATGCCACATGTAATAATGCATATAATTCATTTGTATGAAATGTCCCACGACATGTTCAGTGCGAAAAAGTAATCATTTTTTGCGAACCTCTGCAATGTCTAGACATTTGTAACATTTATTCTAAGACAACTACATATATATTTGTAAATTTCTATCAATTTATGTTGAACTGATAATGCTACAACAGCACTTATTTTTTCACATTATTTGTAAGGGTTACGAAATTATAGTCCTACTTGAATATTCATTTGAGCAATTTAGGCAAGTTAAAAGGTTACATTAAAATAATGTTAATGACATGTTATTCAGGCATAAACTCTATTCATTCGAAACGTTTAAAGAAAAGGTTGGAGCTGTTTTCGAGAAACAATGTTTTTATACTTTTCTCTATTTTACGCAAAATAACGCGAAAAATACTAAAATTGTGAAAAATTATATACAAATTATACACATATAGTTATTTATAAATGTAATTTTGAAGACAAAAATATTTGTCGCTTCAGTTTTGTAATCGTAGCAAGTCGCAAAAAAATTATATTTTGGAATTTTCAAACTTTAAGACAATTTAATGGAAATTGATTCAGCATCATTTTTACTTTTTTTGGCTCTATTTGGGGAAAATTGAAGAAAAAAGTTTGAGCCATTTTTGAGAGAATCACACCACATAAGTCAGATCGATCGAGATATATCAATTTTGGTGAAAGTTCTGGCTAGGGTTTAGTTGCGAATGATGTAGACGGACGGACAATCGTAAAACAATTTTTCGGTATCAAGGACTCACAACACATTCTGACTGTACAACATAGAGTCGGTAGTGTACTATGTACAGGAACAATAATAAATTTACTTTTTCGGTATCAGGGGACTTTCGGGCGGAAAAATAGCTTTTTTTCGCCGCAGCATTACTTAACTTTATGTCTACGATGTAAGTATTATGCGAGTAAGTAAAAATAAATTATGCGACTCGTACAAAAGTGGCTTTGGGGTACTCATTTCAAAATGCCGGACTCGACTTACACCGTCGCTCGCCTCGGCCGTTAACATTTCATGAATATTTCAAAGACTTTCTGTACTAGTTACACAAACAACTATTGATAGATGAAAACAGCGTTTTTATGCGCACTCGATATGGAATAAGGACGAGAATAATTAATATAAGTGCAGAAACCAGAAGGCAATCGGATAACGCGGAGAAAACAAGGCAGGATAAGTTATCGAAACGAAAATTCTTAAGAATTTAGCGTAAAAAAATAACCATTTTTACGGGTGGTATAACTTACTACAACCATTCACATTAAATCGACAAAAGTAGGAAAATCAAAAACTGATAATATGTTTTTTCTAATTTTTGCACAATACTTTCTCCTTCACATTCATTCTTTACATTAATCATAGACATTGTTTATTTGAAAGTTCTAATAGAAGTTCAAAATTCAAGATATGGTTACTTCACCGCAGAAATTTGCAGACCTCAACTTTCTCACCTCTTTGATTTTTTATGTATTTCATGATATGTTATTATGATCATTATAATGCATAATGTAAGTAACACATTGTAAAGATTGATATGACTTTTTTCGTAAAGATTGTTTATTTTTGTGAAAATTAGCATTTAAAAATGCTGATCACTTAACACCTTGAAACAGTTTTGCATAAATGAAATTTGAATTATTGGTAAAATGGAATGTATATTAAAATAAATACCTTGGAGGATTTCCCATTGCAAGCATATCTTGAAATTCTTTCTCCTCACTTTGATACATTTCTTCTTTGCTGGGGAGAAAGGAGGGTTGTCTGAGAGACTTCAAGAAGTATGCTACTTGATAATAAAAAAATGGAAAATAACCGAAAACAAATGGCACTCCAAATAGTGCCATTGTTGGATACTTGATGTTGATTGAGTGTTTGTAGAGGTGTATTACTCTGTTGCCTCTGACAGAAATTCCACAGTCAGAATTTAAAAATGGCATATCATACTTATAGCCCGTACAGTACAATAGAGCATCGGCTTTAATAGACGAGCCATCTTCCAAAACGAAGCCATCCGCTGTAGCTTCTTTGATAATTGTAACTTGCTGGATATTACTTGGCATTTTGTACTCAAGAGGTTCCAAATTATGACACAGATAAACTTGTTTTGCAACTGTCGCTATCTCCAACGACATATCCTTACCAGAGAACGAAGCTCCAAGAACTGCCACAGTTAGATCTTTATAACGTTCCGGATCTCTGTGATCATGGCAATGCATAACATTCCCTTTGAATGCTTCAATCCCGGGAATTTGTGGTATATACGGACTTGAATTGTAGCCAGAGCAAATCATTATACCATCATAAAATTTCACAGTCTCCTCTTTCGTTTTGAGATTTTGCAATAGCACAGACCAAAGCTTGCCAGAACCCGCAGGACGCGGTCTCACTGCCTTTACTACGGTATTAAATTGAATATATCGGTGAAGCTTAAAATGAGCAGCGAAATCCTGGAGATACTGGAGGACAACTCGATGCGACGGGTACGAGTTACCGACGGCTTCCGGAAACGGGTAATCCGGGTAGGCCATCACCTCCTGCATGATGTTGGTGTGGAGGCTCTTGTAGATGCTGGAGTGCACGGGCAGGCCGTGCTCGTCGATGTCAGTGCGGTCGGTGTACAGCCACATACCACCCAGCTGGTCGGCCTTCTCGAACACGTCGAAGGCGAAGGCGGCGGGGTGGGCCGCCAGCTGGCGCGCCGCGCACAGCCCCGCCGGGCCCGCGCCCACCACGCACACGGACATGCGTTCCCGTTGGGCCATGGACGCTCGCGCGCGCGCCGACTCGGAGAGACGGCCCGCGCGCGCGCCACGCGGCTTTTATCGCCCGCTGGAGGCGTCGGCGCGCCGGCAGGCGAGCCGCGTCGCGTCACTCCGCACCGCAGATAGCGCGCGCCAAGCCAATTCGGCCGCTGCGCCACGCCCCCTCGCGAAGGCCAGACCGCCGGAGGAGCCGCGCCGAACAGCGCAAGCAGCAGGAAGGGGCGGGCGGGTGAGCGTCGGGTCCGGCGGCTGCAACGAAAGCTCGGCCCCAGCACCAGGCAGCATCACCTTCTAGGGGACTGCTCGGTACCGAGCCACCTCGGTAATTGGGGATCCCTGGGTACGAGGGGCCCCTCGGAACATGGGTCCCTCTGAGTAACGAGGGCCCTCCGGTGAAACATTAGGTAATTGGGGATCCCTAGGTAAAGGGGGCCCCCGGTAAATAGACCGACTTATGTAGCTCAGGACATTAATTGATGTCCCGACCTTTGACCGGTATATCCTGGGTTCGAGTCCTGAAGGTGGCAGGGGTTTCGATAGTAGCTTCATAGCTAGGTCGATTTCAGCCGCTGTCTTGTGCAGCCTGCTCTAGTCGGTGGTTTTCCATGGTTCCCCTGATTAATATCAGGCGAACGCTGGAGGACTAATCTAACGAACGGGCTACGGACCGCGCGCGATCTTTCTTTCCTCTTCCGTGTCTTATCCTTACCCCTTATTTTCACACACACAAAGTCACACATTTACGTACACTACCACGCATGTCAGGAGACCAGTCGGGGATTTAGAGCTTATCTCGGCTGGGGCGATGCCCTGCTGGAGGGAGATACCAGGTTAGAGAAAACCTCGCAAGTTTATGTATACGTTGACGCCAGATTTTGTCCTCCAGTGGGGAAAGGTCACCGCCACTTCCTGCGATGAAAAATATGCACTATATTCTCGGGACTAATGGTCTAGCAGTTAACGCGCACGGAAACGCCAGTCATTCAATCGAGAAATAATCCCCCTCGATAGGCGGACCTCCTCGGTGACTGAGACACTTCAGAAGTTGGGGCCTCGATGGGTGGGAATTGATACGTAGAACTTCGGTAAATAAATCGAGTCGGTAGGTGCGGTTTAGAGAAAATGGATTCGCTCTCTATGCCTGAATTTGCCCAAGTAGCAAGAAATATGTAGGTATTGCTGAAGCAAAATTAGTTTCCTGAGTAATGGTTGCTACATTAACTTGAGACCTCGATACGAAAAGGTGTTAACTATTTCCATGTTAGGGACTTCAAGCTAATTCACATAAAATAGTTATTTCGGTGACAACTAAAAAAAAAGACTTGTTTGACTCGCAAATCTACGATTAGGCTATATATTTTTATATTTGTTATCCCTTCAGTTCTTCTTATCTAACTTCTTTCACTTTTCATTTCCGTAATTTTTTTAATGATGGAGTGAATGAATACCTTGTTATTTACGTTTTGAACTTGATGTGGCAGTCGTCATGTTCACAATTGTCCCAGCTTCAAGGCAAGAAAAAATACATTAAAATTGTATTCAGTTTATTAAAGGAACAACATGTGTTTTTTTATTCCTAAACTGGAGAAACATCGAGCTACCGAATATTTCGACGTGCGAAGTCCGAAAATATTATTCTAGAAATTGTGATGAGATTCGCTCCACACAAGCTATTTTGTAAGATTCCATAACCTTTGTATTCTGTATCACATCTATGCTCGCTTTCTAACGCGTAGCTGATTGGTACTAGTGAACTGCGTACGTGTTCTTGGTTGTTTGGCTGCGATGTCGTGAAAATATTTGAACTGGTATTCTAACAGCGATAAGCATCATGTTTCTGACAGAGTGAAATCTAGGATCTGCTGGCGCAGCCTTATAATGAATTGGTAAAATGACAAAGTGCTCAATGCAGGTCACTTAATTCTTTTGTGTTTCAAAAATGTAATGAGTTTCTGTTTTTCTGGGTGTAAATGTTTGAGAGTGCAAAATTTACACATAAAAATTCCTTCCATTTAAAATTAAAATCAAAAGAATGTATAACTTTCTTTACCATATAGGGGTATAGTGGAATTAATAAGTTTTTCACACAGCAATCTTTAGCAATCTTTAAATATACTATACTCTCGCTCATATAGTTTCCTTGATTTTTGTGCAATTAATTATTGTACTGCAGCTTTTGTTATTTCGATACCTAAATCACGGCTGCAACTCATTTTGAAAACAATACTGTCAGTTCAACTGTTCTTCTTGATGAGACCAGTGTCGTCACATATAAAAATCGTGAAGTGTAATGAAAGAAATTTGAGAAATTTGAAAGAAAAATGAGTGCTTTGAAAGAAATTTCGTATTAAATCTAAATCAATTTGTACAAAGTGAATAAAACGAACGATATACGTATCGTAACATGTTACGATACGTGTCGTATTATTTACGTATATTTTAATAATTATTACAAATTTAAGACACATGTATCCTTTGATATTTCCTTACAATGAATAATCAAAGTATGAATAATCAAGTTAAAAAATAATAAATAAATAAAAGCTCTTCATACTTGCCTCTTGGTTATAGCAAGAATATATATATTACAATGGGATTTATCCCTTAGTTTTTTATTATGTTCAATAATTTTTAAATTGTTATATTTAATATGTTTTGGTAATTTCTCTTCCATCTATTTATATATTTTGTACTTATTGCATATGTTTTTACTTATACTTATTTTTTCATAATTTCATCACTGATTACTGTATTTTTAATTTTAATTCTATTATTTTAAACAATATAAACAATATTTGTTTCTTATTTTTTACTTTTAGACATATATTAATTATTATTTGTTTGCACCTGATTAGGTGTGTATATATTACACGAACGTCGGGTTACAGCTTCTTACGAACCATAAAAAGGTTTTTTGAAAATTTATTCATTGATTATCAGAAAATAAACCTGTATTAAGTGATTAGTATAATTAATGACAATTATAATATTCTGATATGCTTCACTCTCTTGATCATTATTAATTCATTCTTTTGACATCGCAAATAGAGCAACTCCAACGGTTCTTCACTCGTGGGGAGGACTACTGCAAACTGTATATCAATGTACCAATGCGTACGAATCCATTCGCGAAAAAAAGGCCTTTGCTTCAACCACCCTATTTGGGAGTCCTCTGAGAAGTCCAGTTAAATGATGCTAAAACCGGTAAATAGCGGAAAGGTTTGATGCAGTTTTGAAATTTGGTTGGAAAATGTTTAGGGGTCGATGAACACGGATATCAGGTTTGAAAATAGTTTGACTTGATTCATTATCGTCAAAGAACAGTATAAACTGCATGCGAGGCGTGGAGGAGAATAAGAATCTGCGCATGTTTCTTTACCTCCAGAAACTCTTCCCCATCATTTTACTATACGTTGTTGAATACAGAATAAATGTAAGCGAGGTTATCAAATTTTCAAAATGAAACAATTCCATCCAGGAGTTAAAGAAAAGTTATTTGAATCGGTAAAAGAAATACACATTTCATTTTTAGAATTGCTAACAAATAAGCGCCCCACACCCCGGTTCTCCTCTTACCGCAACTAGCAAAAAGAGAGCTCAACAAAATGTCCGCATAGTGAAGCTACGTTTATGTCCTGAAGCAAAGCAAGGAGCCATCTCAGTATTTGCTCAATGCATCAGGGAACTGGACGCGAAACCTGATTACGATGAGTGTCATTGACCTAAGAGGCTGAAAACAGGTTTGCCTTGAGACACGTTTTTCTCGCAAAACAACTTGTAACAACTCGATTTCTTTTCAGTTTATTAAAAGTAACTGAAAACAATCTAGTTTTCGTAAATAATGGCTCTATATGAAATATAAGAGGATACAATTTCCTCTTAAAGTTTTTCTTCCCCAATCAACGTTTTAGGCGCCAGACATCAGTGAAATTTGGTATTAAAAGCAAAAATCATTTAAAACGGAAATTATCGCACTCGATCTCGAAATAATAAAAGATCTATCCATTTTTTTGTAAACGTTGATCTGATTTTAAATGAAAGATGAAACATTTTCCCACATTTTCAAACGTTGTTATGAGAAATAAGGCTAGAAAAGGGGTTTTAATATTATACACATGTGCACATAATCAAGAATTACGGCATTTGTAACAAGGATAAATCCTATTGCCTGTTAAATTCATTGATAATTATGTACTTGTACCAATTATCTCATTTGTAATGGTAACTGCATGGTAACAGTTGCAGCTACCCAGAAGTATAGAACATTCCAGGGACTGTTGAAGAAACTAGTTTCCCAAAAGTGGTTTTGAGTTGAGACGATACAACAATATTTTGTTGCAAAACGAGGTAACTGACGAATTCAGTTCTGCCAATTCATGCGTCAACGTCGTTTCGACTGGTAGCAGCGGCGCGCCACCAGTCGCCTGAAGGACCGGCTGTAACCACGTGATGAAGGACAGCGCTGCCGTCATGCGACTCTACGTCTTGTGACCTTGGCAGTAGTTACTGTCGGGGTGGGGCACGAAACGAAGTAATTCCAAACAGTTTCGCAGTGAACCTTAACACTTCTAACAAGGATCATCAACTCAAAACACGTGAGGCGACGCGTATGGAAGCTTCTAGGGTATTTTTAACACCTCTCTGAAGCGGGATAGATACAACATACACTAATATTTAATACTTCTTTATTATTCATTGATTACACTGATTACAAAATAATTACACCAGTCATTTTCTTAAAACAAGGGGTCAGCTAGCTCCTGATTGAAGCTAACCGCCAATCAAAGTAATTAAAAAAATACGAAAAACTGCTTAAGAGCATATATGAATTAATTACTAATTACTCAGATTTAAAAGTATTCGAACAACTAAAGGTTTATAAAATTAATAAACTTGACTACCTAATAAAAATATAAGAGAGAGAAATCCTCATTTTACCCATTAAACTATTACTCGGAATGTCAAAAAACACACTTATTCAAAAGAAATTACACTGACTA